ATAAGGGAAGGCGGGTAGGAACGGGTCAGGGAGGGGGCGGAGGTGGGACCCGTATCCAGACAGAACCCAGGCAGGGAAAACATGTTTAGACCCGGAACTCCCCGGCTGGGGATCCAGACCTGGACCCCCCGGCTGTTCCAACTAGCCCCCATTCACTGAACCATTTGTAATATTTGGGTCTGAGCTGTTATGGGGGCTCTGCTTTGTCCCCTGGCCGTCTGCTCTGGTCCCCGTGAGAACTCTGCTGTGTTTCATTCGGTCTGCTCTGGTTAAAGCTGGGAGATAAATAACTGCTGCTGTTGGGGTCTGGAGCTACAGAGATAAAGCTGAACTGAACTGGATTGTGTTTTCTGAGTGCCTTAAAGAACCCACAGTGGTCTCTGTAGGGACTTTAAGGCCTTGGAGTGAGGTAACCGTCTCATTGAAATGAGGACCCCTGTGAGCCAATAGCCAGAGCCAGAGTGGGACATGTGACCTCCTTTTCTGATCTGACACATGTTGTTGCACACATGCAGCAACACGTCTGAGAACACAAGTCTGGTTCCTGTAGGGGAACGCCCCCTGAGCCTCCCAGACCTGCTCCTGCTGGCCCCCTGATCCGGTTTGGTCCCTCCAGCTCCAGCCAGTACCTCCACACCCAGTCACTGTTAGGGCCAATCCTCTGCCCCCCCGCGATTCAGAGCAGGGATCCCTTTCAGTTCCATTTACTTTCATTTATTTAGCACAACAAATGTCACCTAAAGGAAACTAAGATCATTTTAGATAGAATTAGGATCCAGTTCTTTGTGATACAGTCCAGATCCATCAGTTAAAGCTCATTAGACGTCCACTGAGCTGGGAGGAGTTCCAGCCGAGAACCAGCCAGAACCTCCTCTGGTCCGATCCCCATTCCAGACTGTGACAGAGGCTTTGAACAGAAGTAACATCTGGGCCCCTCCTGGTTCAGGACCAGGAAGGGGGGGGGGTCTGATGACAGCTTCATGTGCTGGACGTCTTTTATTGAGTCGTGGAAGCTTCAATCTTGTCATTTGTCTTATTTTTATCTAGTGGACTCTACTTTTTCCACCAACAAGATTTTTGTAGATAAGAAAAACTGAACAGAGAGCAGAGTTCCACTGAAGCAGCACCCATTTCCTGCCCTCTGCTCTCATCCCTCTGTTTCTGTCTGAGTCCCAGGGTTAAAACGCTGAGCAGCTTTTCTGTTAGCTCTGACATAGCTCCACTCAGACGGGACCAGAAGGAGGCTCTTCCTGGAGGATGGACATTCCTCCAGCTCTGACAGAGGACGGAATAAAGCTGCTGTCTTTGAGGGGAACGGTCTGTGGCCCCCCCAGTCTGAGGCTCAGTTCTCAGGATTTAGCTGCAGCACTGATTGGGTGGCATTCCTCCAGCAGCAGATCACTGCTGTTTCCACTCGGATCGGAGCTAGTTCTGCAGTGGATGTAAAACAGATGGCAGCTGAGTGGGGTCCAGGGGAAAGATTAGGGTTGTTTAGATGCCTCCATATCTGCAGTGTAATGTTTAGGAGACACTCAAAACTGGTTAGAGCTGGTTGTTAACGTGTTCTTTGTCAGGGTTAGGGTTAGGGTTAGATGAGAGCTGGTTGGCTGGAGCTCCCTGTTGAGGATTTGTTTCTGTGTTTGTGGGTCTGTGGCTTCCTTCAACTCCAGTTAAGCAACACGTTTAGATACTTTTAGTTTGGTTAGGGAGGTTCTTGGAGAAAATAGAAGCTCCCCGGGTTCCTTCAGTAACATCTGTCCAGCACATGCCCCCCACCCCCCC